TCATCTGACATTGTGCGCCATATATGGCCTGCTTGTTTCGCACTCTCCACTGGTTTAAGATGCTTATTGTAGTTTCGAAACTCCTTTAGGAAGTTAAAAAATGCATTGCCCATGATGAATGTACTTCAAAAAAAAAATTTCCAACAAAAAATAATCCGTAATCCGTATAGTCAAAATTGAGTCGAATTTTGTTGTCTACTCAATAAAAAAAAAAATAAAATGATATATAATTTCAAATTATTGTTAAAATAAGGTTTCAATGTATTCAATGATGAAGTGATCTTAATTTTTCTTTTATGAAATAGGGTATATATAAAAAAAATTGCAGATTGTTTATTGTTTTATATAAATACAAATGTCTTGTATGGGTTATCATTCATTTTCATTATTATAGATAAAAATAATAAAATTTTTTATTGAATTATAACTATATAATTTAGTGGACTATATAGGTACATATATATAAACTTTTTCTTAGTTTGAAAGAATATAGGTATGAACACTTTATTTTTGAGAGGTATATAAGTCACCTTTTTGATGGTTTTAGGTTCAAAGTGAAAATAGAGGTGGCTTGTAAGGACACTCGTCATTATATCTATAGTACTATAAAAGCTCGACAGACTCTTACTTTTAATAATAGATATGAGAATCAGTATACAAAAAAATAAAAAAAATTTTTAAAGAGTGATTTATAGTACATATTTTTTTTTTGTCAATCAAGTGTACATATAATAAGTTAGTTTAAGATTTATAACTTACTCAATTGACGCGCTCCAAAAATAATATTTGAGTCCAATCTTTGTAATGTCAAGAAACTTCTATTACAGTTTTTGAAAAATTTCACAGAAATTTTCTGTCACATTTTTCATTACAAATCACATTTTTTATATGGTAACTGAGATATTATACATGTTATAGATACTTTTATTTAAATAATATATTGTTTCAAATTGTATATTTACTTCGTAATAACTTTTGTAAGAGAGAATTAAAAAATTTAAGTACAATGATTAGTTTCAATAATAGTTAAGTAAAATAAAATCAGAAGGCTATATCTTGATGGCAGAAATGGAAACTATTGTTTAGAGACTGCGGCTCATATTTAATCTTATTTAAGAAATAGTATATAAAATAATAATCTGAGAAGAGCAAAAACAGTCATAATATCTTTGTGGTATATATTTTCTAACCTTCCTCTGGTCATAAAACAATAAAAAAAATTTAAAAATTTAATGTAATAAATTCTCTCTAATTGAATTATTTTATTATTAAACAGTAGTTTGAAAGTGAGAATATGTTAAGATGCCATAGCAAGTGTGAGTTCAATGGTCTTGTTACCTTTGGTAATAAAAGGTGAAACCGTTTGGAAGTCTCACATAGATAATAACTGTTTCATATAGTATCTCTGTTATTTCTTTTGATTAGCCAAGTGAGTTTAGAACTACTACGCTATCATAGTAAAGATATTGATATTGAAATCGTTTAAGTAATCTTCTTCTTCAAAATTGTTAGTTCGCCTGGAGTTTTTTGTAAGTAATTACTAATGTCAACTATATACTACCAGAATCACCTGATAAATTTCTAGAACTACTAAGCTATAGCTTGTTTGAATGTAGATGATATATTTGGCAGGAATACATTGTGACCGAAAAGTTTTCGGAAATTCTCATTTAAAATTCGCGCGCTGTATATTTTTCGATATTTTAAGTTTTATGTAGTTTGCAGCACTGTCCTTATATACTCATGCCAAAAATGAGCGCGATCTGTCAGACAGTTCGTTTACGGCAGCTGTTGAAAACCAGTTCACCTCAGTAGTGCGTTGCGAAAAAAACAATGGAAAAAAATATTGATCAAAGAGTTTGCATCAAATTTTGTGTTTCGAACGAATTTTCGTGTGCAGAATCGTTGCGAATGCTACAAAAGGCTTATGGGGAATCAGTTTTATCGAAAACTCAAGTTTATGAGTGGTACAAAGCCTTTCAGGACTGTCGTACGACCGTCGAAGACATGCCGCGTTCTGGACGACCTTCGACCTCTACCACCGACGAAAACATTGAAAAGGCAAAGGAAATCGTGTTCAAAAATCCTCATGTGAGTGTTAGAGAGATAGCACGAGAGCTAGGCATCGGTCGTGAGATGGCTCGTTTGATTTTGGTGGACAATTTGTGTATGCGACGTGTCAACGCTCGGCTTTTTCCGATTCACCTCAATTTGTTCCAAAAACACCATCGTGGACAGGTCTCGTTAGACATGCTTGATCGTGCCAATTCCGATCCAACTTTCATGGAACGCATCATAACGGGTGACGAGACATGGGTCTACGAGTACGACATGCAAACAAGCCAACAATCATCGGAATGGAGAGGAAAAGACGAGCCGAAACCGAAAAAACCACGCCAAAGTCGCTCGAAAATCAAGGCAATGCTGATTGTTTTCTTCGATATTCGTGGTGTGGTGCATCATGAATTCGTCCCTGAAGGACAAACAGTCAATAAAGCCTATTATTTGACTGTTTTAAGACGTTTGCGTGAAAATATCCGCCGTAAACGGCCTCAATTGTGGAAGGATAATTCATGGATTTTTCATGACGATAATGCTCCCTCGCACCGAGCCAACATTATCAACGATTTTAAGGCCAAACATTCAATAAATACCATCGAACAGCCCCCGTATTCACCTGATCTTGCACCGTGTGACTTTTTCCTGTTTCCCAAACTCAAATTACCACTCAGAGGAACGCGTTTTGAATCCATAGAAGACGTAAAACAGAATTCGCAGAGGAAACTCAAAGCCATACCGGAAAGCGCCTATAAAAAATGTTTTGATGATTGGAAGAAACGTTGGCATTTGTGTATCGCTTCTAATGGAGCATATTTTGAAGGAGATAAAATAAATATTGATGAAGATAAAGAATTTTGCGTTTTATTTA